TAAAATTTTAATTCTTTATATTTTTATTTTTAATTATTAAAATTTATTTATTTTTTATTATATTTATTAAAGATAATTATATTTTTATCTAAAAATCTTAATAAATTTTAACTATTAAAATAAAGAGTTAAATAATTAATATTTTGTGTAAATATAATATATAAAATTTTTATATAAATGTATTTTTTTAATCTAAAATTTCTCACTTTTTAAGAAAAAGTATTATAATTATTGCTTGATAATTGTCTCTTATTCAAACACAAAATAGACAAACCCTTATATTAATTAACGGGTTACATTATCAAAAATTTAACAGAAGGATCAAAAAGAGACCAAGAAATAAACTTTAGTAAAAAAATGAACTTATTAAAGTATAAGAACCAAAAAAAGTTTTTCTCTAAAATATAGGGACCACGTTTGGGATTTGAACCTTTCCATATTGAAAACGTTTTTAATGTTATTTTCTTGGGCCGAAGAAGACGTTTTTCTTCTTCGTCCCATTGCGTGTTGAGTGTTGAGTCAATCCAAGAGTGCTCAGCGTAACAAACGGACCGGAGGACTGGTGGAGACGGCGAGCCGGCCAGCCCAATGTTTGAAATTTTGGATTTATTCCTACGTCCAGCAAAGTACTACTACAGTACTACTACTGTATATGATTAGGGAATTTGGGGCATGTCTAACGCGTAATTGTTCGTAAAAATTGCCCTTTAAATCGTTTTCCATAATTTCTTTTTGGTGCTTTCAGCGATAACCGCCACATCTAAGATTGTGGTGCTGTTTAAACATGAACCGAGCCTTTAGTGCAACTTTCGGCGAATTTGGGGACCCACCGAATTAGGTCACCCAGGCGAACAGTACGCCAGAGTCCCTACTCGGCTACACCCCAGCACTCATTTCATAGAAGGTGCAGTGGAAATGCAATGGCTCTTACGGGTGATGCTTATTTTTCCAATTCAATTGTACTCGCTCCATTTTAATTTACTCGACGCAATTTGATTTTGTGCAGATATTTATTTTTATATTAAGAATTATTGTTTATTCGTTTTATTTTT